TATCTATCTATCTATCTATCTATCTATCTATCTATCTATCTATCTATCTATCTATCTATCTATCTATCTATCTATCTATCTATCTATCTATCTATCTATCTATCTATCTATCTATCTATCTATCTATCTATCTATCTATCTATCTATCTATCTATCTATCTATCTATCTATCTATCTATCTATCTATCTATCTATCAAATTTCTACACCACCTAAGTGACTCTGGGTTTTTTTACAAATAAAAAAAATATTCAGAAATATAAAAACAGAATTAAAACAGAATTAAAAATAGAATTAAAATTAGAGATTATAAATTTAAAGGTGAAAAAGTTAAAGAGGTGGTGGGGTTGCATATTACTCTTAGACCCCCATGCCAATTGTATCAAAGTTGCTTTTTCCAAAAGGCAACTGGACTTTCTTTGTTTTTTTCTTTGAAAATGTTTCATGTTTCGCTTCTCATACAAGAAGCTTCTTCAGTTCTAACTTCAGTTATTTGCTAGTTTAATTCCTTTTGGTGTCCTGATATTCACTTTATTTTTATAGTAAATCACTGAGATAGCTTGTGGTAAATCAAGTCAGGACAAATTAATTAATAAAAATATAGCTTTGTATTTTAAGACAGCTATGTTGCACATATATTTTTAAATGGTATGTATAACAATTTTGTGTTTGTTACTTACAAAAATCACACACACACACACACACACACACACACACACACACACAGAGCTAGCAAGAGAGAAACAAATGTTTTTCTTACAGGTTCTTTTCCATCCATAGCTTCTAGCCAAAGTTTTCTGTTGGATTCAGAAAAAGCTTGCAGGGTAATGATCCCATGTCTATTTAAAAAAAAAAAAGAGTACCACATACAAATCAGAAACCTGGTTATTCATTTTTGTTTCCATGAATCTGAAGACTATACTAAATAAAAGTGCAAAACAGAAAAGATGAAAAGGTGTTAGATACTACAATTCAGCTGAGCATATCTAAAATAAGTTCTTATGGGGGAAATGCTTCTATTCTTAATACAAAATGTTCTTGCTTATTACAAGTTTCCTAAGTGGAAATTTTCTAGGGCCAAAAGCTTAATAAAGTTAACACAGCAATACAGCACAAAAAAACATAAAGATTAAAAATTCTTAAAAAGTGAAAAGCAAGGTGAAAGAGGATTTTTCAAGGAGACAAATTCAAATTGTATTATTTTATTAAAAAACAGTGTTAAGGATTGAGAAGATCATTATTCATTTCAGAATATTTTATTTTCACCATTTACTTTAAATCAGTGATAAGTTTGCTTTTGATGTGGTAAAATAATAGTTGCTAGGAGAACTATCTACTATTGAAGGATGTATTAGATGCTTAATATTGCAAAGTCATTAAGGAGACCTCAGGACAGCTGCTTACAGGCAGTGGTGGGATTCAGCCGGTTCGGACCAGTTCGGGAAAACTGGTAGCTAATTTTTTGTTGAGTTTGGAAAACCGGCTGAATGCACACCGCTTCTGGAAGTCTGTTTTAGGTCTGGAGGTCTGGAGGGTCTAGAACGGCCCACCAGAAGTGCGTGAATGCCACTTCTGGAAGTCCCAGGCCCAGAACGGACTTCCAGAAGTGGCATCCATGCAGAGAATTGATTGTTCAGGTATTTGAATCCCACCACTGCTTACAGGTAAAATTATTCTGGAGGACTTAATACACCTATTTTATTTCTAAGAAGTAGAAAACTATTACCATAACAAACAGGTTTCCATCACATTTTGTATAATCCAGAGAGATTTTGGGAACAGGAAAAAAAAGGCTTGTGGGGTCAAGTGGTATGCAGATTGCTCACAAAATGCCTTGGTAGGGCACCAAGGCAGTTTTTTCTTTAAGAGAATAAAAAAATCACCCTTTCTAAAATTTCAAACCTTTCGGCAACTTCGATATCAAAGCAGAAGCGCTTGTCAATTGAATCTGTTTTTCTCCGGATGCAGGACTTCAGCTTGAACACTTCTGGTGAATTTTGAACAAGGCCATTCTACAAAAAAATCAGAACATTTAAAGTTAGAATGAAGAATCATTCATTACTTATTACACAAGCAAATCAACTGCCAATCAAGATAAAGAAACTGTAATTATCAATCACAGGAGCTTTGGTTAATCAACTTGGCAGTGGGAGAGAGATTTATCTCCAGCACCTGCTTAATATTAATATTAACCCAGAGCTATCTTACTGGCCATGAGACAAACAAAATACAGACTTAAAATATGTATGGGTCTGATCTAGCAGATCTATACTTCCTTTCTACATTTATTACATTTGCATAGACACCTTTGCTTTTAAGTAGTGTTCACAT